GTCGGAGGACATTTATCGACTCGCACCAAACCGGCGGACAAAAATCCGACGGAAATACGCCGGAAACCAAGCAATTTCGTCGGATTTTACGTGTTACAGGCGGATATGGTCCGCCAGTAATTAATAGCGTGTTTTCCTGTAGTGATAGCTTTCCTTTTCCTTTTCTCTCCTCACTCGCCATGTTATTTGCATTCTTAATTTTGATCTTACAACTCCTCTTATCTCCAGTAATGAGATGGCAAACGAAACTATTTTAATATATTATGACATTCAAGATGAGATGACAAACCGCCATAAAATTGACCGCCGGAAAACTCTGCCGGTAATGGGTGATTTCATTAACTGTTTAATTTAGACCCTCCCTAAATAAAATTTATTGCTCCGCCATTGAATTTATGTAGGAGTTCCAATAGTGTATTATGGTTATAAATGTAATAATTAAGACTGAAAAAGTTACATAAATTATTAATGCTACTAAAGTACCAAGCACCTTACAATTAGAAGAAGAGAAAAATCAAACATAAACACATCAATTTGCAGCAACTGAAAATAAACCGCAAACTGAAATCATTATTTTTAAATTTTGTTAGAAAGAACCATCTTAGTGCAGATTGCCATGCAGATACCACACTCGTTATCCCTCTCCAAATCCTTATCTGAAATCTTCCTCCATTCTTCTAAAATAAGTGCAAAGCAAAAAAATGAAGCCATGTTGGGATTATACCAGCCTTTGCCGTGAGGGCCTTTGCTGTCGAAAACACCCATGTAGCTGAAGAACAAAACAATCATTGGAGAGATCGTGGAGCGTGATTGCAAGGAGATGATTTTCTGCGTCACACATGCTCATTCTTTCCCATTATGCTACCAGTGAGATGAGAAAAGGTAAGGAGAGTGAGCAAAAGAAGGATTAGATATCATAGGACAAACCGAAGAATCCCGAGTAGGAGAAAAATCACAGTTATGTATAGGAATTTTTATTAGGTGCGGATTCTGGACGTAGCTGATGTAGCTATACGTCCGGAGTCCAATAAAGTCGCGATAATTGGCATGCACAGGTGGACATTAATTGCTATTTTATTTTATTTTTTTCTTGCCAGCCCGACCAACCCAGCCCAAAAATTCATGTTCAAATTTAGGGTTTTAAATTGGCGCTTTTTTTAAATGAAATACCAGGAAACTTTTATATTTTTTAGGATTTAAGCTTAAAATATATTTTCAGAGCTGCTAAGAAAGAAGAAATAAGGAAAAGGCGGTAAAGATTAAGATGAAGATTGGTTTGGAGAAGGAAAATCTGATGAAGATGATACTATGCAAACATCCAGGAAGAGGAAGAGGAATGACTGAAGTTGAAAGAAGAACAGGTTGCAAGAACGATGGTTTTTTTCTATGTATTTATGAAATATGTTGCGGGTTCCACCGTTCCAAGGGGGCAACGCCCCCTGGCAGGGGTCTGAGGGGGCAGCGCTCCTTGGCTGAGTCCAAGGGGGCAATGCCCCCTGGCGGGGTTCGACCTGGGTGGGGGGTGGGGGTTTCCCAAAAAATATAAATGTTTCGTGGTATTTTATTTAAAAAAAGAGCGCCAATTTCAAAAGCTAAATTTGAACAGGAATATTTTGGGCCGGGTCGGTCGGGCTAGCAAGAAAAAACAAATAAAAATTCAATATTCATAAGTACATGACAAGTGTCGGGATTTTATTGGACTCTGGACGTAGAGCTACGTCCGGAGTCCGCACCTAATAAAAATTCTATGTATAGGAAGCATGAAATCATGCTCGCGAATAGGTAGGAAGGTTAACCGTTAAGAATTTATTATATAGAATAAATATTAAAAATAATAAATTATTATAATTTTAAAATCATAAAAATGAAATGAATGGACAATATAATTTTAGAAGAAAAAAACGAATGACCAAAATTTGAGGTGGAAGGAAATTCAAGCGACTTTTATAATAGTAATATAGATTAGTCAAAATTTTCAACATATTAATTAACCTGATCATGTATTCATGTTAGTGTTGAACCTTGAATCTATTTTTGAGCTGAAATAACATATTTAATAGATTTTTAAATTTTTTTATTTGTGACCATAATTTTTTTATCAAATATCTTAATCTTTATAGTTAACAAGTTGTAAATTTTTAATTTAAGATTAACGGTTTAAGTTAGGTTTAATTTTTTGACTCATTTATTAAATGAGTTAGGTTTGAATTGACTGTATACGGAATCAAATCAATTTTAGATTGAACACATACCTAGCCAAAATTTGTGCTCTTGCCTAAAAGATTGCCTCTTCATAATGTTGATTGCTTTGGTAGCTTCGTTCGCTGTTTTTGCTATTTGTCTATCGTATTCTCTAATTGTTTGGAAGAATTCTTTGAGAAGATATATATTTTTTATGGTGATTCCTTTATATAAGATTGGTTCTTTCAACATCAATTTTGTGTGGACGTTCCTTATTCGTTTATAGCAATACATTTAGTTGAAGCCTTATCTTTTTTGGTAAGGGTGTCAATTTCGGGTCACGGATTGGGTTCGGGTCGAACCCAGAACTGACCCGGGTTTAAACGGGTCGACCCTAACCCGACCCGGGTAGACAAACGGGTAGGAAATCCGAACCCGGACCCGACCCAGTGGGTTGCCGGGTTGATCCAACCCGACCCGGTTTTGGGTTCTGTCGGCGCCGGAACGACGGCGGGCGGACGGAGGGGGCGGATGCGAGCTGGGGCAGCAGCGCGGGCGGGAGCGCTGGGCAGCGCCGCAGCGGGCGCGGGCGCGCAGCATGCTGGGACATCAAGTCTTTTATCTGACTATATGGAGTCAGCTACATGAATCTTAATTAATAGTCAATTAAAATTTTATTTAAATCTAATAAAAATGTTATTTCTAATATTTGCTACGATGAATAATTTTTTATAAATTAAACTATTACTCATCATTTTTCAAAAAAAAAAAAAAATCAAAGGTGTCATATTTGTAATTATGTAAGTACCTTCATATGTTTTAAAATAAAGAGGCAAAAAGAAAGTGAAATAAAAAATTTTGCATGCACTTTCTCACCCCCAAAAAAAAAAATGTTAAAATACTATGGTCTTTAGGGAATTGCCCCCAATATAAGATAAATTTTTTTTATTGCTCTTTATTTATTTTCTATTTCAAATTTTTAATAATAGGAAATTATTTAATTTTTTTATCATTAAAAAATTCCAAAAATTAATTAAAAATTTAGAAATTTGACCTTCAAACCTCCTTTACACAACTCCCCTTGGCTTATTGGTTGAGAGCTTAGGCTTCCAACTAAGAGGTCCAAGGTTCGAGTCCATGTGTATGCGTTGTGTGTGTGAGTTTGCCTTAAATGGCCTAAATGTCCAAAAAAAAAAAAAACCTCCTTTGAAAAACTATAAATACCCCCCTCAGAGGCTAGGGAGAAGGCACAACTTCTCTTTAGTCGGTTCTAAAACTTCTCCTACAAAGTTAGGAAAAGTCGGACTGACAAGCGGCGGCCAGCGGTGGTCCGGCGGCAGCCGGGCGGTGGTCCGACGAAGGTCGGGCTGAAGTTCGGCAGGCGACGACCAGGCGATGGTCCGGCGGCCGGGCAGTGGTACTAAAGCTCTTGAAGTTTCAGAGCTCTCTTAAATCTCAAGCCCAAGGTCTCCCTTATGCAGAGAGTGGGGGTCTATTTATAGATTTTCATGAGTGACACATCCTGTAAATCTAGAGAAGATCCGGGGCATATTCAGAGTGCTCTATCGGATGGCTCGTATTGATTCCCTCGATCATAGAGAGTTTTTCAACTGTTTAAGTGCCTTAACAGTGTCGAATTCAGAGATTTTGGGCTCGTTGGATTCGTCTCACCGAGACGCTCGATTTGACTATAAGCATGCCATATTTGGATATCATTTCAATTATTCAAATAATGCTTTAACCCTTCCAAATGTGATTCGGGCCCCTGATTCGAACCCATTTGGGCTTGGGTTGGACCAATTTTGGTGCTGTTTGGTTCATCCCTTTGAGATGTTCAATTTGACTATAAATTTGTTGAAATTGGAATTCAGGTGATCCCAAATTTTATTTTGTAAGTTTCCAACTTGAATATGCCTCGAAATTCGTGCTTAATCAAGGCAATTTTTTTATGACAGTATCAGGTATATCTCTTATTGCAAGAGTGAAACCCCATTGGCTTTCGTGTAGACAAACTATGCACTATCAATTTGTCCACCCTTAATATATCATTTTCCTCAATTCTCCAAAAAAAATAAAAAAGTACCCAACCGAACTCGTTACTCTCTCAAACGTTTGCTTGCTAAATTAAAAAATATGACCATAAAATATTGATCAATATGAGTTTGTACTTACAAATAGTATGATATCTGCCTATGTGCATACACAGTAACTCGAATTTAATCATATAATTCATTTTAGACAACTGTGAATGAATCTTATATATGTATTTTTTTAAAATAACTCTGATTCAGTTATAATTTGTAAAAGTAAAAACCGATAACTGAATATGTTTAATTATCAAAGTCAAATTCCTCAGCTTTTGTCCAATCAAACCAACTGCTATAATACCTAAAGTGGACCTCACGCATCCAAGCTTTAGGTTAAGATATTAAAATTTTAAGATAATTGCCAAAAAAGTAATAATTAAATAATTTTTAAATTATATTTATTTTAAAATAAATTTTAAATTTTAAATTCTCTTGATCAAATTTATGTGAGGATATTTTTTATCGGAATATAATTAAAATTTAACATAAAAAAAGAAAAATAGATATGTTATCAAAGCCATTGAAAAAAAAAGGATAGTTATTTCTTAGCTTAATTAAATGTTAGAAAATAATTGAAAATAATTTCAAAATTGGATCCAAAATCAAAAGAAAAACTGAGTTAAAATTATGAACGTTATTAAGATTTGAGATTAAATCATATCTTTAAAAATTTTATAGTCAACACTTATAATTTTAAAGTTTATTTTTTCTTAATTTTGAGAATGGGTCGAATGACATAAAAGAGTCCGCTTTACGAAGGCAACGCTCTGCCTCCATAGCTTATAGTAAGCCACACGTATTCTTTGATCAATTGCCACCGCTTTCCTCCTCGATTTCTCTTCCAAAGGAGAAACGAAGCAATTCTACCCAAAAAAAATTAGAGGTCCAGAACTATGGCGGGCGCCGCCACAGCCTACTCCGGCATCTGGAAGCTCTACAAACCTCACTTGAAACACTTTAACGTCATCAACATCACTCTCGTCGCCTTTCTTTGCTCCATATCCTACCTCCTCGGCGTTTGGCAGCGCAGCGGCGCCACAACCGCCGCCACTACCACCACCTCCCTCATGGCCGCTGTCCCCTGCAACGGCGTTGACGTTAACTTCCCCATCTCCTTATCTTCCGAAACACAAACCCAGCTCGACTTCGCCGCCCACCATACGGCTGACGACTTCGCCGCGCTATCGCCGGCGACCCGCCATTTCCGGGCCTGCGCTGCTGAGCTTTCGGAGTACACTCCGTGTGAGGACGTACATCGTTCGCTCAAGTTCGAGCGCGACCGCCTCATCTACCGCGAGCGTCACTGCCCTGATAAATCCGAGCTGCTCAAGTGCTTGGTTCCTGCACCGCCTGGTTATCGGACCCCCTTCCCGTGGCCGGCGAGCCGAGAACTCGCATGGTTCGCCAACGTGCCACATAAGGAGCTCGCTGTTGAGAAGGCAGTACAGAACTGGATCCGAGTTGAAGGCGACAAATTCCGATTTCCCGGCGGCGGCACCATGTTTCCCAATGGAGCCGACGCCTACATCGATGATATCGACCACCTTATATCTCTCAGCGATGGTTCCATCCGCACTGCGATCGATACTGGCTGTGGCGTAAGTTGCTTACTTTGCTCTGTTTGCCTTTCCCTGACCTATCCGGCGGTTGGCTCTGGTTAAAAGTTGGGATTTTGAGAAGCATGCCGCTGCAAAAAAAAAACGCGCGCACACACACACAAGATTTTTCATCTCTGGTTAATCTTTAATGGAGAAGAATTTAGTTAATAAATTGTATTTAATTCTCTGGCATAGGTGGCGAGCTGGGGAGCTTTCCTTCTCTCCCGGAACATCCTAGCCATGTCCTTTGCTCCGCGGGACTCGCACGAGGCGCAGGTTCAGTTCGCTCTCGAGCGCGGCGTGCCGGCGATGATCGGCGTCATGGCTTCCAATCGCCTCCCCTACCCCTCCCGGGCTTTCGACATGGCGCACTGCTCCCGCTGCCTCATCCCCTGGCATCAATATGGTAATAATACGGATTACGAAAGCAATAAAAATATGTCCTTTTCATCTCTCTTCTCCAGAAGTTGCAGAATTGCAGAGCACTGACCACTGAAATTCACAGACGGACTCTACCTGATCGAAATCGACAGAATTCTCCGGCCTGGCGGGTACTGGATCCTCTCCGGCCCGCCAATCAACTGGAAGCGACACTGGAAAGGGTGGGAGAGAACGCAAGAAGACCTGAACGCAGAGCAGAACTCCATTGAATCTGTGGCACGAAGCCTATGCTGGAAGAAGATAAAGGAGAAGGGCGATATCGCTATCTGGCAAAAGCCCACCAACCACATTCACTGCAAGATCAACCGCAAGGTCATCAAATTCCCACCTTTTTGCTCCACCCCCAACCCAGATTCCGCCTGGTACACCAAGATGGAACCTTGCATCACCCCCCTCCCGGACGTCGCCAACATCAAAGACATCGCCGGCGGCGAGCTCAAAAAATTGCCTGAGCGGCTCATAGCTGTGCCGCCGAGGATCGAAAGCGGCAGCATCGATGGAATCACAGCCTATATCTTCCAGCAGGATGCGGAGCTGTGGAAGAAGAGAGTGGACTATTACAGGAGTTTGATTCCCCAGCTTAGGGAACAAGGAAGATATCACAACCTTCTTGACATGAATGCGAAGCTCGGCGGCTTCGCAGCTGCACTTGCGGACGAACCGCTATGGGTGATGAATGCCGTTCCGACGGCCACAAACACCAGCACCCTCGGCGTCGTCTACGAGCGTGGATTGATCGGAACGTACCAAGACTGGTTAGTTCCTGCAAAATTTCGCATATTTAGCATTAATAAAGTTTATAATCTAGCTAATTTATGGTAAAATTCATCTATTTGGCTTGATGATTAGCCATAGGCGATTCTGTTTTCTGAATCAAGATAAACTCTATTAGTATTGGGATCAACTTCATTCTTAATTTTTATTTTCTCCTCCAAAATCATATAATACGTTGAATCAATCATCTTGAACCAAATATCCCTTAATTCTTGATTGTTAAGCAATGTGATTACATGAAACTAAGCTCTGGTTTTTTGTTGTTCTTGCAGGTGCGAGGCAATGTCAACATATCCAAGGACCTATGATATACTCCATGCCGATTCCTTGTTTTCACTCTATAAAGATAGGTTGGTAATGAAGAAATGGTTAATAATTGTTTGGATTACAATTATGCATCTGTGCGGTCAATTATATCAAAAAAAAAAAAAAAAAAGATGATAATGCTTTTTTAATAATCTACAGGATAATAAAATTATAATTTTTTTAGATAATTCTATTATTCATCCGGTGCAGTACCTTAGATTCTGTTTTCTCAGGATCGCCATGATATTCCCTTTGCTGTCACTGATTTTGTCCATTAGAGAAAATCTAATGTTCAGGCATCATATAATTTTTTTTTTTTTTTTGACATCATATAATTTCATTAGTGTTCTCCAGAGGCTATCTTAGGTCGTATAAAACATGAAAGAAAATGAAAAGTAGCAGGAGGTCTAGCAAAAGAGCTAGAGGTAGGGGTAGAATAGCTAGAACATTTAAGTTTTGAGCCATATGATGTATTTTTCTGTTCTCCTGTCAATTGAACTAGAGATTATTCCGTGGAGTATCCAGATGCGTTCTGAGGTTAATTCAAACGTGCCACGTCATCTAAGACATTATGCATTAGGTGATATGATGCGTCCAGATTGGTCTTCGAACTTTTTAATTTCTAGGATTTGAGGATCCTATAAGCTAAACTTCACTGTGTTTTGTCATTTTTATCATTACAATTTGTTCTAACAACTAACATCACCAATTCTGGATGAATTGTTATGTGCGGACACCGAACGCCGTCCAGAGCCCAATGAAAATGTGTCACGTCACCCCTATTCGGTACTGCAACTCGGTACTACTCGGTACCGAGCTCGGTACTGGATAACGTGGTTGCACCTGATTCTTCTCTGGACAGTAAGATGTGTCCGGTGTCCGCACAGAATAATCTCTCCTATATATACACATAATAAACAGCTTTATCTGTATTTAAGATTGATTTCAATGCTGGTCATGAGTTGCAGGTGTGACATTGAGGATATCCTTCTTGAGATGGATAGAATTCTGAGGCCAGAGGGGACAGTGATTATTAGAGACGATGTGGATGTTGTGATTAAGATAAAGAGCTTCACAGATGGCATGAGATGGGAGAGTCAGGTGGTGGACCATGAGGATGGCCCTCTTCAAACGGAGAAACTTCTCTTGGCAGTGAAGACCTACTGGACTGCCGATGACATTAGCCAAAAGGAATCCGGTGATATTTCGTAGCCGAGGAGGCGAGGACAAGGAAAGGTTTTGCTGATTATTTTTTCCTCTTGTTCATATGGGGCTTCTATTTGATTTCATAAGTTCATTTTTATATTGGTGGAATTCTTTATTTTCTTCTCAACTGCAACGGCAAGTTGAAGATTGGACGGTTGTGTAGTAAATTCTTCGTTTGAATTTTCAAAGTGTGACTACATATTATAAATGCTGTAATGGATGAGGTGAAAAGAATCCTCTCTACAGACTACAATATTGACGAGTATGACAAGGAAATCTTATCATCATCGTCATTGTCATCATTAGTTTTATCTCTTTATTTGGAGTAGCTTATTTTTCATTGAATTATTCTTCGCAAGAAGACATGTATCTGATGAATGCCCACTCTTCCTCTAATTAATGATGATGCATAAATTTTAATGTATGCCCATTTTAATTTTTCGGTATATTTTAATAATGCAACTCATCTTGATCTGTTGGTTGAGAGTTTTGACTATCAATTAAGAGATTTTGAGTTCGAAACTTACTTATATGATGTGTGTGTGGGTTTGCCTTTAATTGGCTCAAATCCTAAAAAAATAATATTTTAATTACATTTGGACATGTAAGAAGTGTGTTTTATATGCTATCATTTTTGTTGCATGGCACTGATGGTCAAGTAATTTCTTATTTTGTTTGAGTCATGCCAATCATACTCAAAATATATTGCTAATACCAAAATTTATGTCGGCTATATCAATAAAAATTTTGTAAGGGCTTCAAAACTACTGCTATTACCTGTGATCAACAATCAACATTGGACCATTTTGGTGGCAAACTTGAGGAATAAAGTTTGATATTTTTTCGATTTCATGCGGTGCTTCCTCAAATTGTGAGTCATCTTCAATTTGAGGAAGCACGACCGTATGCCATCTTAAATTGTTACTCCACCATATTTAAATTTATATGGTCTCAATATTTTGTCTAGATATCTTTGTGAAAAAATAAATGATTCTTTGGATGATGGCATACGACAATAACCGGTCCAAATTGTTATTGGTGTGCCAACCCAAACAAGAAAATTCGACTATGATATGTTCGTTTGTAAATATATAGATGTTGCAATCCAAAATAAGAGTGTCAACTGGGCTGAACTTAAAGACTGGCAATATATAATGCCTAAATTCAGGTCAGAACTTGCATTTCACTATTCCTAAATAAATGATTCTTTGGATGATGGCATACGACAATAACCGGTCCAAATTGTTATTGGTGTGCCAACCCAAACAAGAAAATTCGACTATGATATGTTCGTTTGTAAATATATAGATGTTGCAATCCAAAATAAGAGTGTCAACTGGGCTGAACTTAAAGACTGTCAATATATAATGCCTAAATTCAGGGTAGAACTTGCATTTCACTATTCCTTATACAGCTAAAAAATATCTGAACATAAGTTGTAGAGACATTCTTCATTTATATTTGTCATTATTTACTTGTACAAACATTCTTTATTTATAAAACCATTCTTTATTTCTAGTTGTTATTGTCAAAGTAATTTATGTTATTATAATTTATATTTGTAATTTGCATAGACATTCTTTATTTGTAGTTTTAATTATATGTATAATTTCTATGTAACATATATCTTGAGATAATTATTTTCATTCCTATTTGTGGAGTACATAGCGGTACACAACAACGATACACAACACTAATAAGTATATAAAATTTTAAAAAAAAATATCAATAATTTTTTTTTATTAATTCAACATGTGAATAGAAAATAGTACACAATGATAAACAACAATACACAATAACGGTACACAACATTAATAAGTATAAAAAATAAAAAAAAATCACTAAAAATATTCTATTAACTTCAACATGAGAATAAAAAATAGTACATAGTAGTACACTACAATACACAACACTAATAAGTATAGAAAATGAAAAAAATAAAACAATACACAATAACGGTACACAACATTAATAAGTATAAAAAATGAAAAAAAAATCACTAAAAATATTCTATTAACTTCAACATGAGAATAAAAAATAGTACATAGTAGTACACTACAATACACAACACTAATAAGTATAAAAAATGAAAAAAAAAATCACTGAAAATGTTCTTTAAACTTCAACATGCCAATATAAAACAATACACAATGACACACATCAGTACACAATGGTATACAATGATAATAAACAACACTAATAAGTATATAAAATGAATAAAGACATCACTAAAAGAGATCACGATTACTGCTCCTTAAGTAGCTGGCACACATGTGCCTACTGTTAAGTTTGCGGTGGACAACATTCAAATCTTGACATCAACTCGTACTAAACCTTGCTAGCTAGCCAGCCAGATTTAGATGCTTCTTTCACTTACCTCCATACAACAACTTCTCCAATGTTTGCTTAAATATGCCTACAATGAATCCATCATCAGCTGGATCCCAAGAGTGATAAAGAATGATATTGTCTATATCACAAGTTGACCTATCAACAAAATTGGAATTGCCACGTTCTCCTATGTTACGTTGTAGCACAAGAGAACACATTTGAAAAAAGTGTTCACTAGCTAGGTGGTGATATTTCTAAAAAAACTTACTTTCCATACATCTCCAGTCTCTAGCATTTAATTTCTTTTTTGTTTTGTTGCCCTCTACCACCATCACCTTGCCATACAAAATCTAAAGTATACACTCACAACGTTTATGCCATGTATGCACACAACATATGTATATTTCATTTTCCCTTACTAGTTGCTTAAGTGGGCCATCAGAATACCTTGACATGCATTCATGCATCATATTGGTAGCCATGTCTACGAAGTCCTTCGTTGGTATAACTTAAGAATTCTCAGTATCTGGCCAATGTTGTCGATAGAGCATAATCATAAATCTTGCAACGGTACACAACTACTCGAGGGAATTGGTGATACACCTTAAATAGCTCAAATGCTACAACTACCAACCTTAAAGAGCTGAAAAACTACAGTCACCCACCTTAAATACCTGAAATGTTATAATAACCTGGCTGAAATAGTTGAAATGCTAGAACTACCTACCATAAATAGTGATACACATCAAATGTACACAGTGATAAACAACAATACACAACAGTACAAAGTGATACACAATGGTACATAGCAAAAGTTAATATCAAATGTACACAATTATAATACACAAAGGTGCACAACAGACGTACACAGTAATTTAATGATAATTTTATCAAATAGACAATACAAATCAATATAATTTTATAATGAATTTATCAAATACACAACAATAATGTAATTTAATTTTATAATATATTTATCAAATGCACATCAATAATCAATATAATTTTACAATACATAATGTGTTTTTATAATAAATTTTTCGATACATAATGTAATTTTATAATGAATTCATTAAATACATAATGAAATTTTATAGTACACATTATAATTTTATAATGAAATAATTACACATCATCACTATTTCTCTTTTTCAATAACTTTCATCATCATTCTTACATTCTCAGGTGTCGACTTGCTGGTTGATAGACCGAGAACGTAATCATTTGTGAAGCATTTTGCTATATTTGAGAACTTCACCTGACTGACTGGTGAACATTGTTCTACTGTAGTGGCTTGATCTGTAGGTTTTTGTTTTGTTCATTTTATCTTCTCTCAGTGACATGTCAATATTGCATTAGAGATTCTTTTAGGCCTGCAATTTAGTGGGTATTTCAATTTTCTAACTCCATATTGTGTGTTGTCTACAAACTTGTGGTTCTTTCTTTTGTCATCCAAGATCAAGTCAATATATTTAGCCATGTTAGTTATTGCATTTAACATATATTATTTTGTGTCTTCATTTCCTTGTGCTCGTGTGCTAATTTGATATGTAAATTTGTTAAGATGATTTCTGAATATCATGCCACTACATCCCTCCTGAGATGGGATGTCTTTCTTTCTCTTACATGTGAACGTGTGGCAAGCATAAATATCTTTCCTAGCTCTAGTTGACCATCTGAGCAGTAGGTGCCTTGAAGGAATATTAACTATATCTAACTACCTTATAACTATCATGTAGTGAGAATATAGTAAATCCATCATGTCGAACTTCCCACAACTGCATTGAATGGTACCCTCTTTTGCGTCAAAATGAACAGTCCAATGGATCGAAAAATGTTGATGAGTCACTTGAAGCATAATTTATACGCATTCTACCAACACATTGTAAAAATTCTTATTCAAAAAATGAATATATATTTTTTGAATAAAATTGGACAGCTTGCTTCAATTTTGGGCTACTTTTTATTAAAGGCACTATTTCAGACTGACTGTATTTGAAATCTTCATGTTGTTCATTTTGACATCAATTCAACATCACCTTCTCTAAGCCCAAAGAATAACCGGTTATAGAACCTGTTGGATTTGCAATCTCATGGCACACATTGTTAGTGGACTCACTACGCTATGTTGGAAGCATGTCAATGTTAAAATAATTCATATTGAATATTGTTGACCACTTATTCCCAATCCTATAAAGCTCCTTCAATCAATTATGGCTGTGGAGGTCCCCTTCAGTAATCATTTCAGCCCAGGTTCTCTTGAACTCATCCTTATAATCACACTTGCTAAAACACCTATAAAAGAGGCTTATAACTTTGATGTTGCTATCGAAGCACCACCTCTTAGACGGAACCTTCTTTGTGATGTGTCATTTGCACATCCTATGACATGTCTGAGGTAATACAATTTTTATTGTTCTAGCCATTATATGATCCTGATTAGTAAATGTTGTTATGTGATGTTTATCACCCATTATTCGTATAAATGTTCTAAATAACCCAAATAAATGATTCAATTATCTCCTCATAACATAATATTTTATCAATGATTATTAACTCCAACAAAGGGTGCACAAGCTAAATTATATTTTTTTAAGCCTATAGCTAGTATAAAAATTATTACATCTTTGAAGCAATCATAATATATTATCCCCAAACCATCAACCTAAAAAAACTCCAGCCTATGGCGTGTCTGAGGTAATACAATTTTTATTGCTCTAGCCATTACTTGATCCTGATCAGTAAATATTGTTATGTGATTTTTATCACCCATTATTCGTATAAATGTTCTAAATAACCCAAATAAATGATTCAATTATCTCCTCATAACATAATATTTTATCAATGATTATTAACTCCAACAAAGGGTGCACAAGCTAAATTATATTTGTTTAAGCCTATAGCTAGTATAAAAATTATTACATCTCTGAAACAATCACAATATATTCTCCCCAAACCGTCAACCTAAAAAAACTTCAATAATCTATTATCTTCTTCAGTTTGGACATTAACATGCAAACATGTTGTCATCAACTAGTTGATCTTTAAGTAATTGAATTAGGGAATTGGTTCCCCCATACTCAATCTTCGCTT